GTAGCGGCGGCGGCGGCGGCGGCGGCGGCGGCAGCGGCAGCGGCGGCGGCGGGTGAACGGGGTGGTTATACGCGAGGCGACGTGGACGTGGAGGTCTCGGCGAGCGAGAGGGGACGCGAGGGGGAAAGAAGGATAGCGAAACGGGGGAAGCGGCGGAATACGCGCGACGGGGTGTGTGGGGGTAACACACAACCCGGTGGCGGTGGCCGTGCCACGCCGTGTTACTTATCCATTATAACACTCCAAGATCTTGATTTAAGCCTGCAGCCAGTGGTGAGCTTTTAACCAATTAGCCTTTATAGCCTACTCCCTCCGTCCTCTCGTTTCCCGTCGATCCCTCTCCTCGCCACCCTACTAGCTCGCCTCTCGTCGAGTCTCTTCCTACCGACGTGGCGCGCGATGGTAGCCGCCACGTTGGTGTACCTACGTATCCTATACCAATGTCCTCGTCCACAACCGCACGATATACCCACCTAATTTACCGGCTCTCTTCATCTCCTCCCCTCCTTCCTCTTCTCTCTCTCTCTCTCTCTCTCTCTCCCTGTCTTCCTCTCTTTATTTATCTCTTCCTCTCAATGTTATCCTTCATTCGGCTTTTCTCTCTCTCTCTCTCTCTCTCTCTCTCTCGCTCTCTCTCTCTCCGTCTTTGCGCCTCCTCGTTATGTATCTATGAGCATTATGCGCATTGGTGTATTAGCGCGGTGCATTCGCGCGTGCAAGTACGTTAAACACGTACGCGCCAGAAGATGCACATGCACGGTAGTACTGGATGCTCGTCGTTCAGTGGAAGAAGAGTGCTCTAACGGTGGCACTAGATATACGCCGCAAGGTAACGCTAATTAAGAGTGGACGCGATCGAGCCACGTTACGCGAGCATCCTCTTCTTGCATCCTTTTCTTGTGAGTTACGTGTCACATTTATCGATTGAAATCCCGATGAAAGTCCCTGATTTTCCAAATCACACGAATTCGACTGCGTGAAACGATAACAATGCCATTCGGAGTTATTCCGCGCACCGCTTGATGTAATCGCATTGGTTTTAACTTTGAACAATTGCTCGGAACAATGTTAGATATTCAAACACATGAATATTACAATGACTGCTTCCGGACTGTTATTTAATATGCTGGAAAAACACATTATTTTCGCAAAAGTCAAACTAAAAATAGTGATTGTTTTTATATTGAAAGGAATAACAAAACAAATATTTCTGATACGTCTGAATATTCTTTCTATCCTTTATACTAAATAATATTTTATTGATTAAAATATTTATATTCAGCATAAAATTTCTTTAAAAATTTCCACGGGAAAGAGATCGGCAAAATGCAAAAATTAATCTTTCTAAATTATTTTCTAGCATCTAGTAAAAAATTTACAATTTTGGAATGAAGGTAATAAATATTACAAAGCATGGATGTTATATTCTTCAGATAAGAGAAATACAATTTTCAATTCGAATATGATGGTCGCTCATAATTAAAAGGAAAAAAAATTCATACGTGATATATTTCTGCCAACTATCATGTTATAAGCATCTAAAAAAGAGAAGTTATATCTCTTAATCTAGTCCGAGTTTTCTTCCTGTAATCCACGATGCTAATTAGAGGAAGCATTATTTAATCCCATTTGGCTCAACCGGTTCGATGTCGCCGATAAACCGTATCAAAAAAACCCACCTCTCTCTTCCGGGGGCCGGAAGATAATTAATACACAGGCATAAGCAAGATGTAAAAACGCGGTAAAAACACAAAGAGGCAGAGCACGGATAACGGCTCTAAGTCGGACGGATGCAAATGAGCGGCGCGCACGCATAACCATAGCCACACCTCGCGGCTCGCGAGAAAACGAAAAGCCGCAAACGGCAACCCGAGCTCGCTCAAAGCTCCGAGTCCCGAGTGGTCGTCGTTTCCGCCTGAAGGCGAAAAGGAAAAAATTGTTACGCGCTCGTGAATTAAAAAAAATTGGTCAAACGTAGGCGACGTCGTTTTACAATGTGTATTAAGCAAAGACAAAGGCACTTCTTTTCTTTACAGGTACTTTGTTCATATTATGCACCATATTCTTGTGATACTGTCGAGAGTGATCTATTGGTAGTTTTGGGAATAAAAAGGTTGAATATAAAAAAAATTATATTTCATAAATTTTGAAAAGTCCATAATATAATGTAGACAGATCATAAAAAGTTTTCCGTTATAAGAAAGAATGTTGTATAAGCAATATGAAAGTATTTTTTTATCTAATATCATTTTGCGTTTATTGTATTAATTCGTTGGATTTTAAAATAGTTTATGTTAAGGATGTATATATTAGAGACGTACGTAATTGTTGCAAAAAAATTAAATTTGGAAGTATATTTAATATTTATACTTCAATAAACTGTATATATATGAAAGTTGTGTGAATAAGATTGTATTTTTGTTTAATAAATATTCCAAATAATTGATACAAAGATTTTGCGATTTACTGATTAGTTACAAAGATATAGAACAAATAAATATTGTTTACTTGCTGGACAACTAGTTGATGCGTCGCAATGTAACTCCACGTAAATAATCTTGAATACATAATGTACGTATATTTAAAAAACTGAGATTTTCATCATTTATTTTATAATACATTTCCATATATTTTTATTAGAGCACAGATTGAAAAAAAGACTACTATTTATTAAAATAACTTATGATCCAAATAGTAAATCGTCATTTGTCACATTATTTTTAATCGTAATTTAGAATAGTCTGTAATTTTTTCATAATTTTGTTATCGTTTTGCAAATATGTATAAAATATTCTTAATTCAAACATTTAAGGGATTCAAGAAAGTTATTGAGAATTGTTGACATCTTTCATGAATTGGTTTGAAAAATTGAATATTAATATGTTAATCAAATATAATTTCTATGTAAATAGCATAATTATTTATACCTTACTATTCGATGCAGATATATGTTATAT